TAAAATCTAACCTTACCATGGATTATCTTTAAAATTTTTCTTTTGGGTCTAATATGAGAGGAGCTCCATGGGAGCAGGTGTGGCAACACCATAAGTTACTGCACTGGGTGACACCAAACCTACTGAAACCGCTGGTCTTATTTTTTCTATCCCCACTTCCTGTTAAGTGTCAGAAAGTGAGTTCTGACTCATAGTAACCCTGCATAGGATTTCCAAGTAATAGTTGGTGGGTTTGAAACACCAACCTTGTGGTTAGCAGTTCAATGCTGATCCTAAAGCACCACACCAGGACATTAGATATTCAGAAACTCCTTTCTAAAGTCTGCTGTCCATCCCTCCTGTTATAGTGTAGACTTGCCCCTCCTAATAGATCTTACAAAGTAGAAGCAAAAGAAGGTGTCTGGAGGAGCTACCTTTTTTGTAAGATAGGAAGAAAAGACAGAACTTAAACCTGGCAGTAGACTCCATCCCATAGAAGTCAGAATAATATTGATAGAACAAGGTTTCTTGGGCTACTTGACAGAGACCTTTTCCCTTGACTCATTTGCATAGATATTTGTGTGTTTATTTGCATCTTCATTGGCAAGCTCAAAGAATCCAGGTGTGACTCCCCTATACAGAGTCCTTAGAGAAGGGAGAATGCCAGAGAAACTGGTTATAAAAGGGAGCTGGCCCTAGCTGACCCCCAGAACTCAGCTCAGGAGACATCTACAAGGTGGTATCTGCTTGAAAGTGGGAAATGGAGCTGAGCAGGGACTGGGGGTGGGGTGGGGTAGTATGCTAGTGTGCCCCCTTACCACCTCCCCCACATCTGGATCCCTGGATGCCAGAGCCGCAGAAGGTGGGGCACAGGGGGACACCAGTAGGAGGAGGAAGAATATGGGGAGATTCTAGTCCCTCCCACTTAGAGATGCGGTCGCCATGGTGACTGAGGACCAGTGAGATGGGCTGGGGCTGGGGGGCGGGGGTGTGGCAGGGACGGAGGCACTGGGAGACAGGAACGCCTGGCATTCCAGGGGGAGGGAAACGCAGCGGCATCCCCAAGCTCCAGGTAAGGGAGCCTGAGAGCTGACAGACAGTTTTGAAAGGAGGGGGCGGGCCATTGTCTGGCTCTGACTCTGCCTCTGCCCTGAGGAGGGGGCAGGCTGAGGGGGTCAGGCCATTGTTAGTGATATTCAGCTCGGCCTTCCAGCCTCAGTCAGACTGGAGGAGGGAACTAAGAGGATCTGGGTGAGGGGTTAGAGGGGATGGGGATGGGTGAGTGGAAAGAAGCCTGGGAGACTGTGAGGGTGCGAGGAGGTAGGGGAATGTTGAGGGAGCGGAGGCTTGGGGACATCCCTAGTGCCATACACACATTAGGCAATCAATCAGTATAAGTTGATTTGACTTGCTTATGATGGTAACAGAGGGCAGGCAGGAGCAGGGCTGGTGGAGCTAAAGAAGGGGAGCCAGGAAGCAGATGTTCTCCAGGGCTGTCTTGAGGCTGGGGGAAGGGGCTGTGGGGACAGGACCTACAGGGTCATTGGTGGAGCCAGAGAGTGGCTGGAGGAGCCCCTCCCTTAGTAAAGTGACCACACTCCTCACTCTTTTCTCCTGGGGTGGGAAGAGGCTGAGCCATTGGGATTGAAGCCCAGAGGTGGCATGGGGTAGAGGTGATGAGCAATAGCTCATCTTCCCTCCCACCTCCACCCCCATGTCTGTTTCCACTTGGGCTATAAAGGCTGGCAGGAAGGGACTACTGTTTGTTTGATGTGGTCTCAGGACTGTGGGGGAGGAGTCCCCAGAGAAGCTGGACCCAGGGCAGGGGAGGATGAACTCAGTGTTGTTGTCATAGGGGGGAGTCCCTAGGTTGGATTGGAGGGTTTGGGGAGAAAGAAGCAGAAGAAACCCCCGACTGGGGTGACAGAGATGATATGGACATATGGCCCCTTCAGCCTGGTCCCTGTGCATCTCACCCCTTCCCCCTGCCACCCCACTTGACCTGCTACTTGACTCCAACCCTAGCTGAGTATGTCTCCTACCCGACCTTGGGTTCCTCATTTTTCCAGTGAAGGAGGGGGTGGGACCCTGCCAGCTTTGACCTTCCTTGATACTGTGGGCAGGGCACGCTACAGTGGCACGCTAAAGTAAAATGTGGGTCTTCTTGTTAAAAAAATTAGTAAGACTTTCAAGGAGGCAATAGCAGAACATTAAACTAAGTGTGGGGCCCTTCTGAGCACAGGGCACTTCCAAGCATGAGCCCCTGTGTGACTGCACAGGTCTCACATCCATGAAGTCGGCCCTGGTTGTGGTCTCTGCCAACTGCAGCAAGAGACTCTGGCTCTGACTGCAGAGGCTCTTGTGTGAGGAATACCCTTCCTCCCCTCTGACTCCTCTGTGGAACTTGACCAGAAGGCCCTTGCAGATGCAACGGGTGGTCCCTAGTGGCCTTCCTGCAAGTGGTTTCTGTTTCCTCTGAGTCAAGAATCATACCCAAAGATAGTTTCTTAGTCCAGAGGAAATAGAGCCTACCACCACCCTCAAACCTGCCTTCTCCACCCAAGTGGCTCATAGTTGATTTTTCTGGGTTGCAGCAAGAAGTAAGACAGAGCGGGTAGAACTCCAGACAGATGGCCTGGCTAAGAAGGGGTTACTTTGAATAATTCAGATCTGAATTTGATTTGGCTTCTACTTGTGTTACCTCCTGGAGCCTCCCTTTCCTTATCTGTAAAATGGAGTTACGGTGGTACCTACCTTCTAAAATTGCTGAGAGGACTAAAGTACAAGCTACTGATAATAACTGAAGGGGCTGGGGAAGAGAAAGCCTGGGGCTGGGGAAGCTCCTGAGTGTGGGGAAGGAAGAACTGGGGACTGGGTATTGGGTCTGCCACTTTCAGAGAGGCAGGGAATAGGGCACTGGGTGGGGAAAATGAGGCTGGGACTCCTCCCAGTGACCCAGATAAGACTATCTTCTAGAAGAGAGGTCTCAGGACAGGGTTGGTCTCCAAATATGAGATAGGAATTGGGGAGAGTTGGCAAGTGGGACTTTACCTTGATCCTGAGGGACCAAGAAGACTCTTTCTCTGAGTGGCTTGGTCCATGGCTTCCCAAAGACGGAGATCTCCAAGGAGAAAGTGCATCCTTTGTAAGCAGCATCAGGAAGAGTCTGGGGGAGTCTTAAACAAGTCTGGACAAAAGCAGCTATGGGGGGGGGGGTCAGTCTGAGATCAGCCCCTAGGGAAATCAATGGGAGCAGAGGGAGAGGGAAGGGAGGCTGGGTTTGCACTGTAGCAGGAGGGATGGAGGTTACATTGCAGGAAGCATTTCCTAATGGTGAGGAATGTGCATTTAAGATGGAGGCAGGTTATTTATTGGAGCCATTAGCCCTGGGATGTCTGTGCTCTTTCACCTGCAGTCAAATGACCAGGACTGAGTGGGCAGGAAACTACCCACTTTATAGGCTGAGGAACACTTGACGCTAGATGCCTCATTAACCCTGCATTATGAGGTCCCCTCTGGAGCCAGCAGGGAGGGGTGAGCAGCCACCATTGGGGGTTGAGTGCTTCTGAAACTTGGTCCAGAATCAGAAGCTCACATGAGAAATGTCCTGATCCTCCCACTGACTTGATGCTCCTTCAAGAGGGATGGAGATTAGACAACAGGAGGGACTTCCTCACTGAAACCATGGAAAAGACCCTGATGCAATGGTTTTAGTCTTTAAAAGACTATGGCTCAGCCAAAAGTAGGAGGTTTGAAGGTTAGACCACTGCAAGGACTTCCCAGTAGTAGGTAAGAGTAGGAAACCCCACCTTGTGGGTTAGCGAAAGAGGAATATGAAAGTTAGGAAATCTTGAGCAAGAGGAGAAATCACCTCTGGGCTGGTTAGACTGGATGTGATGTGATAGAGAGATCGAGAAATAACTGAGATGACCTAGAAGGGACTTTAAACTTTCTGGATAGAAGGCGGCAAGGAGGAAAACAAAGAAAGAGGTGTGTCTCTTGAGGTGGTAAAGCCTCTTTTTCTCCCCTCCCAATCCACCAACTTCCGCCCAAGCCAGGAATCTGTCACAAGGCAAGAGGTGGAAATTCTGGTTTCCCTGGCCCAGCGCTCAGTGCTGGCTTTGGACTATGGGTACCTGGAGGGCCCCACTCCCGGCCCAGCCGGGCTGAGCCTTCCATCCTCTGCCTACTGGGGTCTAGGACCCCCTTCCTGCCTTCTCTTGGATGGCATGCCCACCCGAGTATCTGGACACCTGGGTTCCAAATTGTGGCTGGTTCAAGGGTATGTGAGATGGGTAACTTGGGGCTGCTGGTCTTGGGGGAGGATTTTTCAGAGACTCAGGGAAACAGATTTCAGGAGTAGGAAGATAAGCAACGGCAGGGAGTTGTCCCAGTCAGCCGCCCCCTTCTGATAGCCAGCCTGTCAGGGTGGACTCTCACTGCCTCACTGGAAGAAAGGGGCCAGGTAGGCCTGAGTGTCAGAGACCCCCAAACCCAGCTGGGGCTGGGGGACTCAGCAGAGCAGAGAGCTCAGACCAGGTCTGTCTGCCTGAGTCATCAGAGGGCAGTGGCAGGATAGTAAGGTCTAAGGAATGTGTGCTTTGAGTGTAAGAATCTGTTTCCCAGAAATTCCCTGCCTGGGCCCAGCAATAGTTTTAGGGTTCTTGCATATGGAAAGAGGGAAGACAACGGGCAGATAGTAAGAAGGACTTTCCTGGGGGAAAGGCTGGAACAAGTAGAACAGGGTTATTGTTGAAAGGAGACCTGGAAGAAGCAGGAAGTGGGACAGCTGGGTTTCTATCTAGAGGGAGAGTCGGGCAACAGGCTGCAGTCTGTGAGAGGGATGGAAGTGAGACCCAGAGGGGAACCTCCCCTCCCTTAAAGCTCCCCACTCCATTCACACTTCTGCTACCAGGGGCTCTCTGATTGGTTCTCAGGAGGATGTGGTGAGGCCTGCTCACCCTGAGAGTGCCAGGGCTCCTGTTTCCCCAGAGCCAGTTAGTGACTACCCCTGACTGAGCATGGCCCTTCCAGCCCTGGGTCTGGACCCCTGGAGCCTCCTGAGTCTTTTCCTCTTCCAACTACTGCTGCTGTTGCTGCCGCCTACAACTGCAGAAGGTAGTGGGCAGGAGCCTGTGCCCAGGGTCAGATACTATGCAGGTAAGTGTCTAACGTTCAGCAAGTGTGGAGATGGCAGCACAGAGTTGGGGGAAAGTGGAGGAAGAAGAAAGAGTGAGGAGTGGGAGATGGATGAATGGAGAGAGGGGAATGGAAAAATGAACATGGAGAAACACAAAGACAGGGAGATATGCCAGAAGCAGAGGATCTCAGAGAAAGGGACAACCGAAACAAAAACTCAGAACTAAAAGAGTAGATGATGAAACTCTCTTGGGTCAAAGACTAAGAAAGGGGAAGAAAGGGGCCTAGGGTTCCAAGGGCCCTTCTCCTTCCGTACTCCAAAGTTGGTGAATTTTCTTTCTCTCTTTAAACGTCATGGTCACCAGCTGAGCACCTCAAATCCCTAACCACTCTCACACCCCTGGATGCGCCAAAACTAAGGCTTATGTGAGGAGATCATCTGTGGATCTGGTGACCATGCCAGGCCCCATGGACACACATGGCACAGACCCTTCACCAGGGATACCAGCATGTAGGATGGCCTGGCTGGGAAGTGGCCCCATGGACCCTGTAGGCACAGTTTGGCTGGTCTCCTACCAAGGCTATGGGACTGCTGGTCTTCTCAGCTTCAGTGAGATTCCAAGAAGCATATGGACCTTGTTAGAGTTATAGGGTAGCGTCTCCAGGAAAGACTGTGTCCAAAGCAACCTAGTAAAGGAAATGTATGTTGCCCATAGATGGAGGGGCCTACTCCATGTTGGGTAGATACTAGGATACAAACATAACTTAGCCCCTGCCCTCAAGGTGCTCACATTCCAGAGGGAGAGACAGGTAAGCAATCAGCCATGCTACAGGGTGATTAGTGCAGTAACTGAGAGATGTGGAGGGTTCTGGGGGAGGCCTGATCTTCCAGCACTGTGTTACACATTATTCTCTGACTCTTCCTCTTGGTCTAAGATTCCCTGAGTCCCCAAAGAAAACAATGCAAAAGTGCTAATAAGTAAGGATTTGAGGAGCCTCTTCCTTTTGTGTCGGTGGGACAGGAATATGCCCGCGCGCGCGCGCGCGCACACACACACACACACACACATACTATCATTTCCATCACATCAAGATAATAGAGATAGCCTAGCAGAGCCTCCTACAACCCTTCACCTACCCTGCCCAGGAGACATCCAGGCATGCCATCAAGACCACTGAGAAAAACGCTTCCTTTCTGTCTAGCCTAAGTGACTTGAGTGATGGCAATTTCCTACAAAAGAGGGGCAGGAAGTAGGTGGTGGTGGTAAGAGGGACCCTAAACCCCATAAATTATCTGAAGAGTTTCCTGTCTGTGGTTGTCAACATCCTCCTGGCCTTCTGTCTGTTTGCTGCTCCCCTTGCTAGGGGGGATAAGGTATCCCCCATCAAAGCCCCCAGACCTGGAAAAACATTCCTTGTGTCTATTTCCTATCCCTTTGTCTGTCTCCTGGGTGCTGGCCACTCTTCCCCAGCCCCAGGCTGTCATTTCTCTGTCTTTGGCTGCCTCTCCTCTCTACTGTGGGCTCCATAGACAAAGCTCCTGTGGCTGCCAGCAGGGCGGGGTGAGGGGGAGCTGCTGGTAGAGGAGTGGGTTCAGCTGCCAAAGCCTGAGGAGCACAGTGCCAACCCATCTCTTCCCCCACTTCTATCTCAGGGACCAGCTGCCTGCCCTTGCTCCTCATAATTTACTCATTCTCACCAACTTTCCATAGGGGATGGTCGCAGGGCGCTTAGCCTCTTCCAGCAAAAGGACCTCCGGGATTATGACATTCTGCTCCTGAGTAATGATGGAAACACTCTTTTTGTGGGGGCTCGAGAGGCCATCCTGGCCTTAAATATCCAAGATCCAGGGGTCCCAAGGCTACACAACAGGGTGAGGAAGCCAAGGATAAAGGGCAGGGGCTGGGAATGAGGAGGGGGCTAGCAGCTGCCCTGGGCCTGGACTGCTTATGCATGAATAACTTGCCCAGTTATTGATACTCAAATAATGGACAAGAAATATTATGATGGCATTGATTGGCATCAAGACAACTGACTGAATCATATTTATTACCAAAATGGTTGGTACAGAAACCACTGACATATGAAATAAACACTGACTCAAATTATATCAATAATTTGATATTTACTCATTGATAGAAATCACTGAAGCCTCTGTGTTACAGTCACTCTACTAATGGGAACAATACGAAAGGAGAAAGGGAGAAAGGAGACAGAAAGGGAGGAGGTGCTAGCAATTACTGATCAACCCAGTGGGTTGCATTTCTCAAGGTGTGGCCTGTAGATGATCTGACAAGAATAAAACCAAGTACTAGTTATAAATGCAAACTCTCTGAGAAGTGATCCCAAAATTCCTTTAAGTCATTTCCCTAGGATATGTGTTGGTTCACAACTGCTGCTCTGTATACTATGTACTCCATTATGTGCTTAACATAAGCCACCTAGTTGTGTCCTCCAGCAGACTGTGAACTTGACCAACTAACTAGTAAGTGGTCAAACCTAGATTTAAACTTAGATCTGTCTGATTCCAGAGGCCATGTTCTACCATGGAACTCTATTCTAATGAATATCAGTATCTTGAGAATAATAGCCAGAGTCACAAATTGATGTTATTATCGTCATTCAGCCTGTCACTAGCCACTATACCAAAGAGGGGATGGGAATGAGCTAGAGCTAATGACGTCATCTTCTTTCATCTCCTCCTCCTGACACTCTGCTTCAGATACCCTGGCCAGCTAGTGATAAAAAAAAGATGGAATGTGCCTTTAAGAGGAAAAGCAATGAGGTAAGTGGAGACGGGGGTATGAGAGCCCTAGGTGAGGAACCTTGGAGTCCACATCACCACTGGGATGACCTTGGGCTGGGCAAGCATTGAAGTGTGCTTGTTTGAATGATTATCTGCCTTGACTATGTTCTACAAAGATATACAGGGGCTGCCCTAGTATTGCCCAGCCCTTCTCCCCATTAAAAAGAGAGAGGGTAGACTCTGGAGGCCCAAGACTCTGGGGCAAGTAGCAGCTGACCCGGCCTCCTTTGTTTCCTCCAGTCACAGTGCTTCAACTTCATCCGGGTCCTGGTCTCTTTCAATGCCACCCATCTCTACACCTGTGGCACCTTCGCCTTCAGCCCTGCGTGTACCTTCATTGTGAGTTATCTGGCACCCACCTCTCAGGTCCCCAAGCCTCCCTCCTCACATCTACTCTCAGCCCATCCTCTGAAGCTCTGGAAAACTCTGGTCATTTAGGCACGAGAGCCTCGTGTACCAATTTCATCTGTGTATGTCCCTTTCCCTCTCCCCTCATGACCCTGCTTTCCCAGATGTGAGACCTTGGCATTCTGGTCCTCCAGCCTCTTCCCCCCCTTTAGGAACTCAAAGATTCCAAACTGATGCCCATCTTGGAGGACAATATCACAGAGGGGAAAGGCCAAAGCCCCTTTAATCCAGTCCACAAACACACGGCTGTCTTGGTGGGTGAGTATCAGGTTCCGTGGTCCATCCCAACATCTACCTTCCTGGGTCTTTCTGTGAAATATGGAAGCTGACAATTTCTTGAAAGGCAGGGGAAAGACGGAGGGGAAGCCAGGAACCTCATAGCATAAGATAAGAAAAAGAATCAGGCACCCCCAACTACCTACTGAAACTGCCACAAGGACGTAGAGAAAGATGGATGGGGAGAGAGACACAGAGGCAGTAGAGCCCGGGAAGGGTCTTAGGCAGAGAAGAGGCATGCAATTCAATAATTTATTCTACAAATATGCATCATGTGAGCACTTCCTCTAGCACACCAGGCATGGTGCTATTAGGAATTGTAGGGATTGCAAAGAAGAAAATAGGACCTTGTGCCCTGCCATCTATAAACCATCACCCTGGCTTCCTGGAGGAGGTGTCCTTTGGCTTTTGAGTGAGAACTTAAAGGATAGGTTACAGGTAGGTAGATGGGTAGGGAAGGTGTTCCAGAAAGAGTAGAGTAGGACCTAAGGTGTGGAAGCAGAAAACATAGCCATCTTCAGGGAACAATGAGTGATTCTATTTAGCAAGTGGTTCAGCTGGGTGTGTGAGGAAGTAGCCAGAGAAAGGCTGTAAAAGTGCCAAAGTACAGAAGGCCATACATGTTGGCCATTCTCTGTGGACAGAGGGAACTAAGAAAGGTGCTCAGTAGAGGTGTGTGAATTGGGCAATGCCAAAGTACAGAAGGCCATACAGGTTGGCCATTCTCTGTGGACAGAGGGAACTAAGAAGGGTGCTCAGTAGAGGTATGTGAACTGGACACTGGTGCTTAGGAAAGTGTGAAAAGAATGAAGGGAGCCAGAGCTTGATGTGGATGCCGGCCGCAGTCAGAGGCAGGTGAGGTCTGATAAATCTCTCCATATCCTCACCAGATGGGATGCTGTATTCTGGCACCATGAACAACTTTCTGGGCAGTGATCCCATTCTGATACGCACACTGGGCCATCCTGTCCTCAAGACCGACAACTCCCTCAACTGGCTGCAGGGTAAGAACCTGACCCACACCCAGCACAAGTTCAGGCCTTCTTCCCGAAGCCCCGGAGCCCAGGCATTGTGAATTTCTATTAATTCACTCAGCTGCAAAGTGCTGGGGATACAATAGGGAAGAAGACAAAGACGACTCCTGCAGGAAGCTTCCATCTTACCTAAATAATGTTCGCCGGCCCCCAATTTCACCCCGACCAGACAAGGGATCAGGCATTGTGTCTTTTAGTCTCCAGAGCCAACCCGGGGTTTTTCACCAAGGGGAACCCAAGGCAGCCAGGTGCTCACTTTCTAAGCCCCTCTGCCCCGCCCCCCACAGCTGATGCCTCCTTCGTGGCAGCCATTCCTTCGACCCAGTTTGTCTACTTCTTCTTTGAGGAGACGGCCAGCGAGTTTGACTTCTTCGACAAGCTCCACACGTCTCGTGTGGCCCGAGTCTGCAAGGTCTGTGACCGGGGGCGGGGAATGAAGGGGAAGAGAGAGGAAGGGGGTTGGATGTGGGGGAGCCAATGGGAAGATGGCAGAGGCAAGACTGAACATTTAGGGCCCAATGAGGGCGAGTGTATATGAGGGGGTGGGGCGGCATGGGGGCGTGGATACGTTGGGCGGCTGGCTCTTCCCTGACTCCACGGACACCCCTAGAACGACGTGGGCGGTGAGAAGCTGCTACAGAAGAAGTGGACCACTTTCCTGAAGGCCCAGCTGCTCTGCGCCCAGCCTGGGCAGCTGCCTTTCAACATCATCCGCCACGCAGTCCTGTGGCCTGCAAATTCCTCCCCCGCCTCCCACGTTTACGCAGTCTTCACCTCCCAGTGGTGAGCAGCTGGGCGGGAGCATGGGGGCTGGACCCGGGACCTGGGGTCAGCGTCCGTAAGGCCTTGGCTCCCAAATAGAGGCAGGAACTAACATGAGCTGAACATCCAATCTGCTTTTTACTTGGAAAGGTATCTGATCCTCACCATTTCCAAGAAATTTCACTCATACCCTGCATGCAGATGGGGAAAATTAAGCTCAGAGAGGTTCTTACTAATTTATATCCTTCCTGTTCCAAAAATGATGAGAAGCCGCTTACTAAGGCTATCATATAATAAAATAAAATGGAATAGCAGGAGGATAAGAGAAGCCAGAGGTAGGATCAGCACATTACAAATATTTGTCCTGAGGTTTTGTACAGCCCCCTGGATGCTGGTTACAAATTTAGCTCTAAGCGTCCTAATGGCCAAGGCAAAGAGGAAAACACCATTAACATCATAAGATAAAAATGAAGCCATTGTCTGGCTGATTTGCCAAAGTCCTGCTGAGGCTATCCCTGGTATCAAAGGTATAAGTGGTGTCTTCATCCTCAACGGATCCAGAACAGAAAACCTGGTGTGAGCCACAGTCAGGTTAAAAAGAAAGTGAGAGACGCGCGTCTGCCTCTGGAGACCAGTGCTGAAGGACTAAAAATAGTCAGTAGTCATGGGTCCATTGTCTAAGGATTAAGAATTCATGGAGTCCAAACAAAGAGGGCTTCATCTGGACATAGCCCACCATTGGTTACACTGCTTCTCCTATGCATACAGCCCAGCCTGGGCAGAACTGAATGTTGCCAACCCTGGGTCTGAGCGCAAATAAATTCTCATTAAGAATGATCACATGTTATATGTTAGAGCCAGGGCCAGAGCCATGGGACTCCACAGGGCTCTCTAGTCCTTATAACCATAGCAAGGACCAGGAGAAGCAGCTGAAGGTTGCCCTAACCCACCACACTTCTACCCTCCCATGGTTTTTCACTGAATGTGGGTCAGGGCTGGAGAGGCAGCTTCTTTAGTATGGCAGAGAAGACCACAGACAATGACCCCTTTGACTGTCTCCAGGCAGATCAGTGGGACCAAGAGTTCTGCGGTCTGTGCCTTTTCTCTCACGGACATCGAACGTGTCTTTGAGGGGAAATACAAGGAGCTGAACAAAGAGACTTCACACTGGACCACTTACATGGGCTCTGAGACAAACCCTCGGCCAGGCAGCGTGAGTACTACCCCCTATGCTGAGTAAAGCACCCCCCCCACACACACACATGTGCATGGAAAAGTACCTGTCACTGTGTTAGTAAATACTCAATAAATGTTAGTGCTCCCCCCTCTTACCAATCACATCCATTCAGGTATATACCTGGTCTAGCTGCCCACATTCCACAGGTGCCCAGCCCCATCCTGCACATAGAACAGTTGCCATAGCCACCCCCTCCATGAAGGCTAAGTTGCATACCAAATTACCTAGATATATCACTCGGGAAACAAGGAGCAAGGGTTGTTTGTCAAGCTTTGTTTTGGACATCACCATTTCATTTTTTTAAGTCAGGTTTCATATTTATGTAAAAGAATCAAATAGATCTATAGGACTGGTTTTAAAAAACAGCCCTACACCCTACCTTTCCCTCTCCACTCTCTAGAGACAACCACCGTTAACTCTTGTATTTGTTTTGTTTTTGACACTTATCTCTAAATGTCTAAGTAGCATGTTTTTATTGCTACTACTTGCTGTTTCAGTTTTAGGCAATCTGTATTAAATTCTCATTCTATAAGGTGAACTTTTAGTTGTCTTTAAATTCCACCACCCCCCTTACCACCTAGTATTGTGATGGAACTGGCTTGCAGTAAAAACAAGAGTTAACTTTGTACCTCTCTTTTTCCAAATTCAATGACATTATATTGGTAGCTTGCAATCAGCTAAGATGGGAGTATTTACACCTTGGAAATCAGCAAACACTATAAATCAGAGTTTCCCCTTATCACTCCTGGAAAGCCAACTTACCTTGCATTCACCCTCAACCTCCCAACTTAGTTTTATAGTAATTTTTGTTAGATCAATATTTACATTATGACTCTTATTATTCACAGTCAAGCCTGGTAGTAAATCATGATTACTTATCCTTTTGTATAATTTTTTGTTTTCCCTACTTTCAATTAGTAATTATCTTGACTTTTCAGTTTGCTTAAAGGAGCTCTAGTTGCTATGTGGGATAAGAATTGAGCTGCTAACTACAGGGTCAGCAGTTCAAATCCATCAGCCACTTTGCAGTAAAAAGATGAGGCTATCTAGTCCCATAAAAATTTATTGTCTCAGAAACCTGTGTAAAGTCACTATGAGTCAAAATACAATCCATGGTGGATTTGGTTTTGCTTTTGGTTTTCTAAACTCTTATCTCTAATCCAGTGCCATCTAAAGCAAACCAAACCCACTGTCATTGACTCAATGGCTACTCATAGCAAGTTTATAGGACAGAGTAAAATTACCCAACAGTGTGTCCAAAGTTGTAATCTTTTATGTAAGCAGACTGCCCCATCTTTCTCCCATGGAGACACTGGTCAATTCAAACAGCCACCCTTTTGGTTACCATCCAAGTGCTTTAACAACTGTATCACCAGAGATCCTATTCAACTCCATAATCTTTCTCAGTTATTGAAATGACTGCTGAAGGCAGCCTCATTGGGTAATTTGACAATTTCCTCTTCCTAAGGAGCTTTCATATCTGCTCCAGTCTACTGAAAGCTCTCTACATCCAGGGAACAGCTACCATCCTGGAATCTCCCTTTTCATCATCTTGGGGATTCCCTTTGCCTGTCTCCTGTGATAGAGCATGTATTTCTTACATTCCATAGCTTCCACTTTTTAAAAATTTTATTGTTTTGACCTCATTTTTACTAGAGAATACAACAATGACAAATCTTCCATAGATTCCTAGGAAAGGATATGATAATTTTTACATGGCCAGTAAAACTTTTTGAGACCTTGATTATTTAAAATTGTTTTTATTCTACTTTCACATTTAATCGATAGTTTAGCTATGTATGTGTAATTCTTAACTAGAAGTTATTGTTGTTAAGTGCCATCGAGTCGGTTCCGACCCATAGCAACCCTGGAAGGGTTTCTGAGGAGTAGCTGGTGAGCTTGAACCACCGACCTTGCAGTTCAAATGGCTTTGCAGTCTGTTACATTAATCCAGTTTTCCTTAAAAATTTTCAAGTCTTTTCTCTATTGTTGTGTAACTTCCATTGCTGCTGTTGTACAAGCTTAAGGTTTTCTGATCCCTAGCCTTTTAAATGTAACCGATGTTTTTTCATTGGAGTCCATGTAGTGTCTTTTCTTTGTCCTTGGTTTCTGAAAGTTCATGGTAGTGTGCTTTGGTGAGACTCTTCTTGTTTTTTGTTTTTGTTTTTTTTGCTGGAACTCAATGGGTCCTTATACTCCTAAGAAATTCAATTGATTCAGTTTTAACAAAATTTCCTGAATTATTTCCTTTTTTCTCAACAAATATTTAGGCGACTATTAAATAAAGAGCTCTGGTAGCGTAGTAGTTATGAATTGGGCTGCGAACCACAAAGTCAACAGTTTGAAACTACCAGCTGTTCTGTGGGAGAAAGATGAGGCTTTTTGCTCCCGTAAAGATTTGCAGGCTCAGAAACCCTGTACAGGGTCGCTATGAGTCGGAACTGACTCTAGAGCACATAACCACCACCATTAAATATTAGGCATTACTCAAAGCAGTAGGAAAATAGAAATGAACAGAACAGACAAAAGCCCCTTCCTTCATGGAGCTTAACAGTCTAATGGGGTATTTTCTCACTATTTCCTGAACTTCCTGGTCTGGTTGTCCAATTTTTAAATCCTTTCCTGTTTTCTGAGGCTTAGGTTTTGGGAGAGTTTCTCAACTTCATCTACTACTCCATCCGTCTTTTTTTTTCATTTCTGCTAAAATGTTTTATTTCCATGGTTTTTTAGCTTTGAATATCACTTTTATATTAAAAAAAAGTTATTATAGAGAATTCTGAATGTATAAAAAATTAGAAAAATATAATGGACCTCATGTATCCATCAGCCAGCTTCAATTCATAGTCAATCAAATTTGCTCCAGCATAGTGGTTACAAATCAGACTGCTAATCTCACAGTCAGCAGTTCGAAACTACTAGCTGTTCCACAGGAGAAAGATGAGACTTTATGCTCATGTAAAGATTTACAGCCTTGGGAACCCTGTATAGGGTCACTATGAGTCGGAACCAACTCCACGGCACATAAGAACAACATACCCCACCCACTCCTATAATTACTATTTTGAATTTAGAGATCATTTCAAGAACAGATTATGTATTAGACACTAATGACATGACAATTGGAAAATCAAAAGAAGATGCAAATTCTGGATATCATATAATTTCATTCATAAATATTTTAATATATATTTCTAAAATATAAGGATATTTTAAAAAATAATTTAAAATTTTAGTATGTATTCAATGTTGAATTGTTAAGTGCCATCAAATATGTTCCTGCTCAGCAATCCTGTATAGAATTTAGTATAATGAGTTTTTGTTTTTTAAAATATGTGTTGTTAAGTGTCATTGAGTCAGTTCCAACTCATAGTGACCCTATGTACAACAAAACAAAATACTGCCTGGTCCTGCACCATCCTGACATTGTTGCTGCCACTGTGTCACTCCATCTTGTTGGGGGTCTTCCTCTTTTTTGCTTGCCCTCCACTTTTCCAAGCATGATGTTCTTCTGCAGATACTGATCCCTCCTAACAACATGTCCAAAGTATAAGAGAGAAAGTCTCACCATCCTTGCATCTAAGAAGCATGCTGGCTGTTCTTCTTTCAAGATAGATTTGCTTAGTTTTCTGGTAGTCCATGGCACTTTCAATATTCTTCTTCAATACCATAAGTCAAATGCATCAATTCTTCTATGAGCCCTTATTCATTGTCCAACTTACACATGCACATGAAGCAATTGAAAACACCATGGCTTGGGTCAGGTACACCTTAGTCCTCAAAGTAACATCTGCTTTGAGCAGAATTGCCCAATGAAATACGCCATTTTATTTCTAGTCCTTTGCTTCTATGAACATTGATTGTAGGTGCAAGCAAAATGAAGTCTTTGACAACTTCAATCTTTTCTTCTTTTATCATGATATTGTTTATTTTTAAATATAGTTAATTTGAATCAAAATCAAAATAAGGTCTATAAAATGTGATTGGTGTTATCTCTTAAGTCTCTGTTATATATGCCCTTCCCATCCTTTCTTTTTTTCTCTCTCTTGCAATTTATTTGTGGAATTTTTTTATAGTCTAGATGTTGGCAGTTGTATCTCTGTGGTTAGTTTACATATACCCTGTAAATCTATAGGAAGTTGAATCTACAGGTTTGATGAGACTCCGGTTTGATTTTAGGGGGTGAGGCTACATCATGGTAGTGTGCTCTCCTACAATAAGCATGTAATATCTGGTTGGTCTCTTTTTGTAAAATAAGGGCTATTTCTCTTTATAGGACTCATTCTTGTTTCATGATTATAATATTTTATCTCTTTGAGGATAATAATGATAATTTTCAAAGAAGTTTTATTCTTTTTTAATCACTTCTGTCTTCTCTTAGTTTGTTTGTTCCTATTTGTTTTGTTCTCTTTCATGTTATTTAATCCATACCTGATCATTTTTTACTATTTACTTAGAAACCCTTACAGGGTCACTATGGGTCAGAGTCGACTCAATGGCACTTTACAACAACACCAATTTATGTTTAAGAGTTGTTGTTAAGTGCCATCAAGTCAGTTCCAACTCATAGTGATCCTGTATAGGGTTTCCAAGGAGCAGCTGGTGAGCTTGAACCATTGACCTTGCAGTTCAAACAACTTTGCAGTCTGATACATTAGACCACAGCACCACAGCAGTGAGTTTGAGATTAGTACTGCCACTCCTCTTCGCTTTTTATTGCAATTGGCTTGGTATATTTTTTCCATCCTTTGACTTTTAATCTGTTTTTTGTCTCTCTGTGTGAGAT